TAATGAAATGTCCCTTGGAAACCTGATATTTGGATTTTCACTTCCTATCAAGAGCCTAATTCGCCGAATAGAGAAAAGCAATAAGAAGATTGTCAATAAGAAATACTCTCTGGTCTTCAATGAAACCTGCATAAAAGAGAAAATTGTCAATAAGAAATACTCTCTGGTCTTCAATGAAACCTGCATTAAAGAACAGCTTCTGCCAAACTACACAAATGTTTAAAATATATGTAGGTAAATTCAGTAAAAATATAACTCAGTACTCACTGCAGTCAGTGACAGAGAGCGCATTTTCTCGTCAGCGAAAACGTGAAGTCACGGACGGACAGACAGACAGACAGACAGACGGACATGGCGAGCACAATATTGAATTTTTTCCATAAATGAAAAATGCGCTAAAAAGAGTGCATGAGTAGCAAAAATTCTTCGAAATCTGTTACCCCATTTTTAAAACTATTGGAAAATAAATTTAACTATGCTGCTTCCTCTTTAAAAACTATAATAACACAGAGTTACATAAATGTATTTATGGGTAAGAATAAGAACATCGAATTTAATACTTATCATGTATTCAATATTTAAATGTATTATTTCTACTTAGGTTTCGGAGTTGATGAATATATTGAGCCTGTGCATACGCTGGAAATTAGTAAAAAGGAACTAGCAGAAATTTACTTTAGGATGTCTTCTTCGGATATACATACATATATATTCGTCAACAATCTTTTAATTAATTAGACAACATAAAAAAAATTACAAATAAGTCAATCAAACGCGATGTGAAAATTTCAGTTTCTCTCTCATTCTCTCACAAAGTTGCTGGAATTCTATTATTATTTTTTCGTTCGTCGAACCGGAGGGCTCGTTTGCTCGGTGTTCCCAGAACCGATGATTGCGTTCAGCTCACGCAAGCTGATAGCGTTCTGATAATTACAATGCATTGATTTACCCGAACCATGCTGCAAGGCTTTTTCCTGCAGCCTGTGCTGAGGCGCGCGCCGGAGGCCAGCTTCACCCTGTCACCCAACTTCACATTTTAATCATTTTCCTTTCCAGTGGGTAAGAACGCTAGTGGGAATAGAAGCCTATAAAGTCAAGTTCTCAAAGCCATACCGCCAAATGTCCATCTACAGCCACCGCTTAAGCATGCCTCAGTTAAGCGTGATCATACTGCATGTACATAAAGTAGACCAAGGAATGATTTCCTCTGATGAGGGCAAGGCTAACGTTCTTAATCAGTTCTTCAGCAGTGTGTTCACAGACGAGGACTTGAACAGTATTCCAGATATTGAGGAGCGCCCAGTTGGCTCGAAGTTAACATGCTTTGAAATACACGAAGAAGAGGTTCTCAAGCGCCTGGTAGCTCTAAATCCCAACAAGTCATGTGGACCAGACGGTTTCCTGTCTCTTATACACATCTAGATGTGTATAAGAGACAGGAGTTATCGACGTCTGCGTGGGGACCTCATTGAAGTATACAAGTATACTCATGGTCTATACAAGGTCCCTGAAGGGTTACTAGAATTTGAAACAAGAACCAACACCAGGGGCCACGGCTGTAAGCTAAAAAGACTGCGCTGCAACTTCTCCACGCGACAAAATTTCTTCTCGCTTCGAATCACCGACATGTGGAACAGCCTCCCCGATGACATCGTTGGCGCTCTAAGTATGAACGCGTTCAAGAACAGACTAGATAAAGCTATGGAAAAATATATGTTCAGATTTGAAATGCCTAGCACCATATCGAACCCGGTGGAATTCTAGTACCGTAAAATGGGGTAACTTTGACCACTTTTTTTTAAATTGATGCCATTTTTTTACTAGATAAGTTAAACTTAAATTGAAACGTGCAAAATACAGGTCTATACTCTAGATTTGCTCACCATAAATTGCTGGCTCCTGCCTCTCATAGTTTTGATGTAATTTAAAAAAAAAGTGATGGTCTTTGTTACCCAGTCTTATGTAATTTAAAAAAAAAGTGATGGTCTTTGTTACCCCAGCTCTTGGGGTTTCTTTGACCGGGTGGTAAAATCAATTTTATTTTTTAGTAAAATAATTCCAAATAACTTCAGGTTGTGGTGCATTGTAGTAGAACTCTTCTAGTTACATATACAAAAGACAGATTTTAGGATAGTATCATAGTTGTTGTTGTTGGTTGCGACCGTCACGCACGCCGGGGGGAGGCTCTGGTGGCGGGCGGGGGACCGGAACCGGAAGAGGGGGGAGGTGGGCGAAGGCAGGGAGGGTGGCCAGGAAAGCCGCTGCCTCCACGGGGCTGTCCCACAGTGAGGAGACGCTGAGAGACGTGGGGAAGGCGGGGCAGACGAAGAGGTGCTGAACGGATTGGAGGGGTCCCCGCATTCCGGGCAGGCGGAGCTAGGGAAGCGTCCGATCCTGGCGGAATAGGACGCCAGGGAGCTGCAGTATCCCGAGCAGAGCTGGGATAACGCTGAGCGGTAGGGGCGAGAGAGAGAGAGGTCTCCGCTGAAGCAATCGGCGGCGGCAGGGCAGCAAGGACAGCGTTAATGGCGGCAGTCGCCGCCACGCGGGAGGTGATCTCCCTGCGGAGAGACCGCTTGGCTTCTCCGTATGTCCCGGCAGGCAGGATACCATTTGTAAAGAGTGGTGTGACAAGATGGCCGAACCTTGACTGTATCGAGGCTTCCATAGGGCGGTCACCCAGAGGGGCAGAAACCATGCGAAAGGAGGCGTGGGAGGACTGGAGGGCGCTGGCGAGGAACTGGGCGCAGGCCAGGTCCAGGTGCTCGGGCAAAGGGAGGGAGTATCATAGTTTGCAAATGGGGCGCCGCCCCCACATGGGCAAAATGTGACCACCTAATGGCAGCGGTGACGGGGTAACATAGACCAGTTTGGAAATTAAGTTAAAATTACTATATATAAGACTCTGTAGAGTCTGAAACATAAAGAAAAAAATTAATAGGTATATCAAACATAAAATATGTTATATAGGTACCTATGGTAATTTTAACTTAATTTCCAAGCCGGTCAATGTTACCCCGTCACGGCTGCCATTAGGTGGTCAAAGTTACCCCATTGGGGGGCGGCGCCCCCCATTTGCAAAATATGACACTTTTCTAAAATTTGTCTTTTGCATATGTAACTAGAAGAGTTCTACTACAATGCATCAAAACCTGGAGTTATTTTACCAAAAAATAAAAAAATTGAAGGGGGTACTCCGACAGGCTTTAAATAATAGCTCTTTTTTGTGGGTCACATTTTTAATTTTTTAACCTATTAGATATGCAAACTTTTTAAATCTTTCTATTGTGTTACGTAGCCTCAGTATTAGGGCCTTTGATGGCCATTGACAAAATTTTTCTATGTCAAATCGTTTCTGAGTTTTGGGGGTTTTTGTTAAAAAAACGAAAAGTGGTCAAAGTTACCCCGCCGGTCAAAGTAACCCCATTTTACGGTAGCTACTTCAAACTATCGTCAGTCATGAAAAGATCCGGTCAAATGACACGATTTTAGATCTATGAACAAGGCACGAAAAGGAAAAGAATCGGCGACAGGCCACATCAGGCCTACACTTCAGCGCCAGCGCCGACATCACTATGTTGTGTTATGATATGTATGATCACGTTTTCCTCTTACCTATTCCCGCCTAACCTCATCTGGCCTAACCTACACACGTTGCAACATTTATCCACCCATAACGAACCTAAGTGGACCCAACCTAACCTCATTGGCTGCTGGACGTTAGAGAGAAGTGGCAAGTGATAAGGTAGAGCCAGTCAATGGCTGCAAGGAGGTTGTGAGTCTGGCCAGCGTGAATAGAATAGAATAGAAGTGTGTCGGCGTTGAAGACATAGGCCCATGGCCTGTTGCCGATTCTTGAACTTTTCGTGACTTGATTCACAAGGGATCCGGCCTTTGGAACCCGATCTTTCCATAACTGACGATTGATTGAGATAGCTGCTGGACTTATTGCCTGCTCCATAATTTGCTAGGCATTTTAAATCCTTGTTGCGCGTCTTTGAACACTCTCTACTAAATTTTTGTCCTTTTGTTAGACCAGAAAAGGTTAGGCCATTGTAGGTTAGCCCGGATGCAGAACCATGGTTGAACTATATAAGGTTGACCCACGAGGATTTCCATCTTTCAGTTCAGCTTTCTTGTTACGTCACTGGGATCGAGAAACGTAAATAATCCCGTCATCCCCATGACGGATTGATTGACTCGTTTGATCGCATTTTGGTGAATGGTTAATGCCCGTGACGTCACTGAGATCAGTGACGTCACATGCGAACAACACACTACATTAGCAAAAAAAACTACAGTTAGGAAGGAGACGCTTACGCTGCTCTGTAGAAATCAAACTGAGAAGCGACCTCCACCTGACGATGTACATTTACTTAATTTTTGTGCATAGCTCGCCCTGTAAAGAAATTAGTATCACGGCGAATTGTTGACAATCTTAGGTACACCGTACAAGTTTGCCAAACTTCGCACTTAGTTCATATTTCTTTCCGTAGTTTAAGAACGCTAGATCGCATAACAGCCTATAAAGTCGAGTGCTTTAAGCAATAGCGCGGGTGTCCACAACCAAAAACAAAAAAACAAAAAAGAAGCGTGCTACAGGTAAGCATACAGCCATACTGCATCTGGCCAAACCTCTTCAGGCCAACAATACAAGTTGTAGCACATCACCACAAACAAACCTAAACAGACCTAACCTAACCTCATTGACTGCAGGGGGGCGCAGCCGTGAAAACAAATTTAACTCCTAAATAAGCCATGGAGCCAACGCTCAGCCTCAGCATGCAATAACTTAACCCAGCCTGAGTGAAAGACGGTTAGACGCCGCAGTCTACGCTGGAACACAGTAATCTGCATCAGTAAAACACTAGCTTAAAGATAATAGAGCCGTAGGTCTCCAGCCAATTCTTCAGCATGCTCGCTCATAAGCAGGCAGTACTGCATCCAGCCTCACTTACCATGGCCTAAGTGCCTTCGCCATAATGACCAGAAGTTGTTTGCTAACAGCTGGACACGCCTCCACCTACGGGCCCCGTAGGCCATGGCGTCTCTCTGTGTGAGTTCAGGGTGCTGCTCGACCGGTCCGGTCCGAACTTTTGCGTGAGGAGCATGCTAGGCGTGGTTGGCGCGATCTCGTTGGGATCCAGTGGCGAGTCCCACAGCGGAGTCGAGTTGACGATGGCTGCAGATTCTTGCAGGAAAGTGTTCAACTCATCATAGGTTAAGGCCCGGGCGCCCGTCGAGAGAATGGCCGCATCCAGGGCACGTCGCACTTGGCCGATCTTGCGCTCCCAAACGCCTCCAAAGTGGGACGCTTGAGGAGGGTTCATCGTCCACGCCACGCCAAGGTCAGCCAAGGTGCGACTCACTCGCTCTATATCGATGTCTGTACTTTGCTTCTTAACACCCAGAAAATTCGAACCCCGATCTGAACGGACTGAACTACAAGGGCCTCTTATCGCCAAAAAACGTTTGAAACAGTTGATGAAGGTCGAGGTGTCCATGGCAGGAAGGCACTCTACGTGCACGGCGCGGGATGCCATGCACGTGAAGATAGTAGCCCAGCATTTTCGTAGAGAAGAGTTCTTCCGAGTCGACTGTCCACTGGTGATCCACCAGTGCCCAAATACGTCCAGCTCCACAGCCGTGAAAGGCGGAGCTGGAGAAGTACGTTCGACCGGCAGGTCGGCCATGCGAGGGGTGCAGGGCGCGGCTCGCAGACGACGGCAGGTGACGCAGTTTTTTAACATCTTCTGGATGGCCATCCGTCCGTGTTCTAGATGGTAGCCTGCTTCTCTCAGCGCGGCTTGACAGATCTGTCGTCCTTGATGCTTGGTTTGTGCGTGGTGGTGGCGAAGTATAGCTAGACTAACAGGAACGCCGTCGGGCAGCAGAATAGGATGCTTGACGTCGAACGCTAAATCCGATAGCCTAAGATGGCCACCTACGCGCAGCAAGCCTTTCTCGTTCAGGAAGGGCGACAGCTTAATAAGTCGGTTATGAGGTCAGACCAGTTGTTCACTTGCTTGGACGGCGATGAGATCACTGAACGCTCGCTTCTGTGCCTCGCAAATCAGTAAATCGTGGGCCAATCTCCTTGCCTCGGGTTCAGGAAATTCCGGTGCGACCGAGTTACCGTACTTGTTCCTCAAATGGCTTATCCAAGTTTTGCTGACGATAATAACTCGGGTTGCGACCCGGATCATGGCACTCCACGAGCTCAACTTGCCTCACAACCGCTGGGAGACCGCGCTATTGACTGATTTCTTGGTCTGCAACGCACAGACGACAGGACTTTCTTCTTCTGGGAGTGCCCGAAAGTCCGAGTCGGGCTCCGTTCCATTTTGAGGAGCTGGAGCGGGCGAGGTCATAAGGAAGGGAGGTCCGGTTAACCACATTGAACGCTGCAAAGAACCGGGCTCGGTAGGTCTCGATGCGTGATCAGCTGGGTTCGAGGCAATGTCTAGGTAAGTCCATTCTGACGGCTGACTCGAGTGACGAATCAGGTCTTCTCTGCGTTGTACGTAGCGGCTGAATCTCTTGCTCTCGTTCTTGATGTAGGCTAGAACGACCCGGCTGTCGGAATAGTAATAAATTCCGTCTACCGGTCGCTTCAGGTCGTTGATGATATGTTGGCTAGAAGAGACAGCCTCGACGGCGGCACAGAGTTCCAGTCTGGGAATGGACGTCGCCGCTCGTGGAGCTAATTTGCTCTCTCCGTGCACAAAGGCCACATTAACTTCTCCTTCGCTATTCGTAGAGCGAAGATAGCATACGTTGCCAATGGCATCCAGGGAAGCGTCCGCGAAGACGTGCAGCGTCTGCAGTACTACATCGCCGGCCTCGGGCAGTAAAAAGCACCGGGGAATACTCAGTAAATGCAGGGCCTGAAGGCTGGAGAGCCAGTTCGTCCACTCTTGTAACTGGTGACTTTCGAGAGGATCGTCCCAGTCTGGGCGCCTTTCAGAGCCCAGAGTCACCTCCGATAAGACCTTGCGCATGATGAGCTTACCGCCTAGGATGACTGGGCAAACGAAACCGATGGGATCGTAGATCGAGTTAGTCACGGATAACATTCCACGCCTCGTAAAAGGCCTCTCCGGAAGACTGACCTTGAGCGTGAAACAGTCGTCTAAGACATTCCAAGCTACGCCGAGAGTGCTGTGAGTCGGGGCGTTGAAAAACTCCACTTCGGACTCAATCGCTCTTTCGCTGGGCGAGAAAGCGGCGAGAACCTCTGGCGAATTGGACACTATCTTATGCAGCCGAATCTCATACCGTGCTAAGATGTTCTTAGCCATGGAAAGGACTCCGATGGCGTCTGGGGCACTTGCCGCTGTACCCAGGCCGTCGTCGCAATAAAAGTGCGAGACGATGTAGGACTGCGCACTTAGGTAATGAGGGGATGTTTTCAAATCCTCGGTCTTCCCTTCGATGCCCTCGGCTGCCTTTCTTAAACACGTAGTCGCTACAGCAGGGCTGAACGTATTACCGAAGACGTGCACTCGAGCGCGGTATGTGATTACCTGCTTCTTAGGGTCGTTGTCTTCCCACCAAAAGAAGCGCATGAGATCGCGGTGTTCTTGGCTTACTTGGAATGCGTGGAACATACTTTCTACGTCGGCTACAAACCCGATCGCCTGCTCCCGGAACCTAGTCATCACGCTGCGGAGCCTATTATTCTGATCGGGACCCGATAACAAGACCGAATTCAAGCTCGTACCGAAATAGACGGCAGCGCTGTCGAAGACTAATCTAACCTTACCTTTGCGTTTATGGGTTACTGGAAAGACGGGTATGTACCAGGCTACCAGCTGAGCTCAGGCAGATCGACACCCACGGGCTCGACGTGCTGCGCGTCTATGTTTTTCTGCATGGCCGCAACGCACGCGTCTAACTTATCCGGGTCTCGCTGCAGACGGGCGAGCGATGACACTTGGCGACGACGTACCGCCTGCGCGTTGTCTGGTAGATGTACGTCTGCGTCTTTCAGTGGCAAGGGAGCCTCAAGATGACTCTCTTCATTCACGCGAACCTTGTTCATTTCTCGCAGAAATTATTGATCTTCGGGCGATAATCCCAACTCTTCGTCATCTTTCTTACGTAGGAAGACATTTCGTCTTAACTCTGGGGCGAGCGTCTCGCTCACAGAAAAGTGATCATGATTCACCGTAGCGGCGGTTCTCAGCGTCACGGACCTCTTCTTTGAAGTTACAGCGTCCAAGGGGCAGACTGATCCGACAACTGCCCATCCCAGCACCGTTTGATGCACGAACGGTGCTGAAGTTTGAGTGGTCCTGCTCGGCAGCAGACGGTTGCTGTCGCGTCCCAATAAAACGGCGACCTCCGCTCTGGGATCTAGGGGCAAGAAGTTCTTGGCGTAGTGGGAGATGCTCGGATGACGCTCTACTATTGTCCTAGTCGCTACTTCTTCTTTCATATCTGGGATATAGTTATTCTCAAGTAGACGAGGTAGCTTGAAGCTCTTCTTCTCGGAGACACCCCTGATCTTGAGCTTACTCACGGAGCGTCCTAGCATTGGCGTACTGTGACCGGCTAGGGTAGTCAGCGAGTAGGGATGCTGGGGACCGGTTATCCCGAATTCGTCCAGGAGCGCGGGAGAGCAGAAAGAATTGTTGGAGTGTTCGTCAATTATGACGTACACGCGAAGGCAGCGTTTCGTACGTGGGTCGTAAATATCTGCAAGCAGTGTTTTGCTGCAGCTACGGCCTCCCAGTTTACCGCACGTAGAGACACACAGGACGCCAGCTGTCGATGTCTCGTCCACTTCTGAGCTTGATGTGGCGTATGAGTCATCCCGCCAAATGTGAGCTGGCGTGTGATGACATCTGCTGTCGCAAGTGTCACACTTGACAGTGCTCTTGCATACGGCGGCGCGGTGCGGACCTAGGCAGCGGTAGCACAATCTGTTGTTTTGAAGGAATTGTCGCCGCTGAAGGCAATCCATGTTTTTCACGGCAGTGCAGTCTGTCGTCTCGTGAGCGCTGCCGGGATGGAAGGCGCATGTGGTCCGTGTTTCGGAGCTCCCAAGCAAAACACGTGTATTTTTCGTGTTTAAACGAGATGGGGGCGTAAGTGTAGCGACAGGGTTGCCTGATAGATCGTCGCATAGGGCGTTAGCTGTTTTGGCAACAAACTCACAAAATGTGCTGAATTTAGGATGTTGCTGAAAAGTGGCTTCGTAGTCGGAACACTTGCGGCGCCAGGCGTTCTTGGCAAAGACCGGCAGTTTCTTCTTCACGGGGTCTAGCCCGATGAATAGATCCAATAGGCTCAAATCTGGAGCCGATCCCATAGCATTGCATGCAGACTGGCAAAGGTCGCTGAACTCCCGTAACTTAAGGGCAACGTCGGGATCCGATTCAAGTTTCAACCGTGGTCGAGAGCGGACGCTCGTGTTTTGCGGTCCCAGATTTTCAACTTTTAACTTTTAATGTGCCATTTTCGGAACTCTTTTTGCATTTTTTTTATGTTCCGTGTCAGTGAATGACTGAATTTTCAGTGAAGTCAGTAAAAGAGAGTGCGAATAGAAAAAAAGAAGCCTATAGTAAAAGTGTTTCCATCTGAAATAACGCGATCTAGAGTCAGCGAGGGTCGTCAAGCGAGGGCAACGAGCACTGCCCCGCCAGCGTAGAACAATAGAGCCCTTGTTTTATAGCCAGGCTTACCTCTCCTACCCTGAACACCTTTTCAGCCGCTGACTGTAACTCACTTACTCTCAAGTCTGTAACCGAGTTTTTACAGCACTTTGAAAACTTTACAATTTTTACTCAACTTGATTCAGTTTTAGCTTGTGCTTTTTCTAGCTCTTGCATTTCATGATGGCTGGTCAGAGAGGAAAAAAATTAAATGAGAAGGCCTCCAGTCCTGTTAAACCGAATTCGAAGATCAAATTGCAAAATGAGCGAATTGAATAAACAAAAGTAACAAACATGGGAGTTTTTAAACTCAATACCAACGTCAAGTTATCCGAACGAAATGTGTTCTCAGTGCCAGAATAGACTAAATCTGTCAAAGGAAAAAAGACTGAAGCTACCGATGGTGGCAGTTGGTAAACAACAAAAAGCTTGGAGAAAGCCTTTATAATGCAAAAAAGCAAATAAATGAAAACAAACATCAAAGAAAATTTCTAATTATTTTGTAATTTATCCTACCTATAAGAGTTTCTACCGAACATTTCTACGGAAAGTGGCAAAATTTAATTTGATCATAAAAAACTTTATGCCTCTTCATAAAGTGTTGGCTAAACAGAAAAAAATTAATTGTTTCATCACATTGTTACATTATTAGACCATTCACCCTAAGCCGTAATACGTTGCACGATGACTGTAGTACTTGATCTCTTCAGTGTTTCTTAGCCATCTTGAAAGTCTCCAACGTTTCTCATATTGTGAAATCGCTTCCAATGCGTCTTCACGTGTTACGTAGTCGTCCGGGCCCCTATATGGCCCCCCTGGTGATCGAAGGAATTTATTATATTGAAAACAATTCAAGAAGTGTTACGAAGCTCTCGTGGCATTTGACAGGGAATGTTCTATTCTTACAGGACAGTGCAGTGAAGTGCTCTCTCACTACCCAGATTCACCAAAGCCAAGCCAAAAGTGCACATCAGCGGTATTTTCCGTTCCCTTTATCTATTTGCTCCCACCGCAGCATCCCCCATCACTATTTCTCAAACTACATCAATCAATAACAAAACCTAAGACCCCTGACATCAAGCTTTTCAGCGAAAGCAATTTATAGCGCATTTTCCCTCCGCAGTCCTTCGATCGAAATCGTATCAATAACACACCTACAAAATTGAATACGCATACATTACATGACATGAACAAAATTTAAGACTGTACGCTCACACACAAAATCACTAGTGACACCACCTTAGCACATGCGCATTCTCAATGACGGCTTCTCCATGTTTACCACAAGAATCATGTTCTCTTCCCATGCTTACCACCGGTACAATGTTGACAGGAGAAATGCAGTGTTGCCCACATCCTCATGCATCTGTTACAAATGACACAATTAAGTTGAATCATCCATGCACACGCTTATGCACCATCGCCACGCTGACTCAATGTGCAAGCGTATCCCATGCACAACCTCGCCTAAACACAATGCAACAATACCAACAAACAAGGTATGAATTGACATTGTAAGGGATCGTGAATGGACCCTTACTTTCAATAATTTGTCGTACGATCATGAAAACTGACTTAGTGGGTTCCGGTTACCCCCGAACGGCATAAAAAGAAAGAACTCATGGCGCCAATTGCTCGTTTATACTGCGAAAAGCTGTTTTTAATAGAGAAAAGAGCCGTAAGCTTTAGAACAGGATACAACACACACATACGAAGTATAAAATAGCCAAACGTGCGATACAGATTTTCAACAACCCTCAACTGTCTAAAGTCTCTTGTAAGACTTCAACTCAAGAACCAAATTTTAAAGATGACGATGGCCTGAAACGTTCTTTAGTGAACCTAATGGAACGGAAACTCTACGGACGAGAAAAACTCTACAAATGGCCCTTCAACACGGCAGTGAAGGCTGATGGCGAAGATTACGACTCGAAAAAGAAGTCAGCGACAAATCATATAAAGACTCATTAATGCCAGTACACGTCATCATCGAGCCCATGTACTCGTTACTCATAAGACTATTTAGGAGCGCCAGCGACCCCAACCCAGTCACACGTAGCAACTCTCAATGAAGACATAAGCCCTCACAGAATTCAACATGTCTCTCGCGTTAAACCTCTATAGCCTTTGGCGACTCCTCCTATCATATCATTAGTTCATTACCCTTTTTCAAACCTCATTATCACCATAATCACCGAAGAGAAAGCATGGACATATTGTGAATGTTTATTAACGATCCAGGTATCCAGTATAATATTGGTAATGGTCAAAAACGTAATGTGCGATTACGATGTTACTGATTAAAGATCACGATTATAATGTTAGTTAGTGCATCTAAATTTTGTATATAGCTTTTTCTATTTGATTAAGTTTTACTAATGGTCATTCATTTATCTATTCATATTGAAAGCCTCAGGTTGAACAATAAACTGTATACTTGTATAGCAAACTCTTAAGGGGAGGTATACCCTAAAATTTTCGGATTTGGCTATTCTGGTATTGTCAGGTCCTTTGATACTTCGTGGCCGGACCTGAGGCTTCCTATGGCCTTGAGTACTTAATTAAGTCCTGAGGGTTCAGTGTAGTCTTGAATATCGTCCTACTCTTAGACTGACGGCAGGAAGGGAGTGAAACACCACATTACTCTTAATTGTTCACTATTGACAGTTCGATGGTGCGGAGGTTCGAAGGATTGACCGGAGCTGTCAGCAGGCACCGCAGGTGCATGTTAATAGGCTGACACAGGCTATCTGACTGCTCCGCGACCCGGCTTATTTATGGCTTCGTTGTGACGTCACTGGTGGTGACGTGGCCAACTGCCGATGGTGGAAGGCGAATATCACGTTTTCTATTTTACATTGGTATTTAACTCCTGACAGTATTTAGTATCGTCTTAAAGCTGACATTCTGCCCTATCCAATGATACCACTGCGATCCCTGTACGTGAATTTATACGTACATGACGGCTCTTTAAAGGGGGGCGGGTGTTGGAGTTCCTTCAC